AAGACTTCACCACCTGTACCTCTGGTGAACATTTAGCATCTAAACTAAAACAATTACAAAATGAGACTCTTAGTTACTCGAGCATTTTTTTCTTTCTTAAAAATAAGGCCAGTCCATTCTCCAAGAGATTGTAGTATATAGATCCTAAACCCACACTCTGAAAAAAAAATTATATATATATATATATATATATATATATATATATATATATATATATATATATGTGTGTGTGTGTGTGTGTGTGTGTGTGTGTGTATCAAGAATAATTTTCTCTTCTTGAACTCTCCCTCCTTGGGATAGTAAACTTTAAAGGAGGAATACTGTAAGAACACCAAAACATGAGGGAGGTAAAAGTATAAATTCAGTTGTGAACATTTTTTTAAAAAAAAAATGGTTTGGCTTTTATTGATTGATTCCAAAGGGATGTAGAATTCTACTACTTTTATTTTTTCTTAAAATTTTTATTGTAAGATTTTATGTGGAGGTTGAGAGTCTCAGTACAAAATCTATATTAAAGAAAATAGGTTAAAGGGAGAAAAAAGTAAGATTTGCTTTAGGCCAGAAGGGTCTTCGAAGACTCTTTTGAATCAAATGGTGTCCAAAGTATGGAGGTCTCAGAAAATGTATTCATATATTATTTGTAGTGTTTACACAATTTTTAAAAAAGAGAACAGTCTAACACTGAGAACTATCTAAAAAGTCATCAAAGAAAAGAAATGGGCATCATGTACAATACAGCATTTGTGTGTGTGTGTGTGTGTGTGTGTGTGTGTGTGTGTGTGTGTGTGTTTTGTCCACTATCAATAGTGATAAAAATTTTCAGCTTAAGAGGGCTGCTATAAATCCATAGGCCAGGCCCAAATGGAGGAGAGATAACAAAGTGAATAAACATTTCATTATTATTTTTATTCTTTAGGCTGCATACCACCTGCATCTGCTATGACCATTTCTGAGGTTCTAAGAAACTTCTAAGACACTCAAAATTTTGATCATGATTCATTCAACAGAGCTTTAAGAAAATTTGTTGTGAATTTTTCAAATTTCAGAGGAAACTGATAACTATAGCTAGAGAGTATATTTCAAACTGAATTTAGATCCAGTCATAGGTTGCACAGCACAGCCAAATCAGAGATGGACTGAGAAAAATGATCAACTAGATCTATTAAAATTATAACTTAATTACCCCTCCCCTGCACATACAGGCATGGAACACTGACTCTATAGGAATCACTGCTTCATGGTCTTGCATTTTTTTTACTTATTTTAATAAAACACAGTAGAAGGAATACAAAATGCATGCAATGAAATATGTCAGAAAAACAGTGGTAGGATTTTATTCTAAGAAATAACTTCTTATTTGACTTTAGGGAATTAATTTTGTTGGTGTATCTGTATATTTTAAAATAGAATAAAAAGTCAGGATAAATATAAGGGTCTTACATAATACCTGTCCTCTATAAAGATTAATACCCTTAGATTTTAAAATAAAGTCACTTTATACATACAATAAAATTAGCATAACTATTATTTATGAATTTAAACAAATATAAATCCATTTATTAATTTCCTGCAACAATGACTTTCAAAAACTTACTTTTCTTCCAATTTTCTACATACTCCCATGCCTTATGTTCCAGCCTTCTTGGCTCATATATTTTATACACAAATATTTCAAATAAATAATATTACAATGAGCTCAGAGGGCCATAAGCTTAGACCTGTTCTATTCTGGCATTTCACACTTCCACCATCCTACTCAGTTTTCAACTTGTTCTTGCCACAATTAAAGCAGGAGAGGAATATTACATAGAGTCGTGTACACCTAAAAAGTTATTCTTGGTTCCATTGTTTGTTTCATTGAATTTGGGAAGTGGAAGTAAGACTGAAATCTTCTGAAAGAATATAATTTGCTGTTGTGAAAAGATACAATGTTTCAGTTAGACAATAGGAATAAATGAGAAATCGATTAATTACCCTGAGTCAATCGTTCCACCTTTTATATATATAACATGGCATCACTTTGTACCTCATAAACAAATATATTATAATTTGCCACTATCCAATAAGAAGTTTTTAAAGAATCTATCTTGCAACTGAAGAAAAGAAAGGGACTCTCAGTTGGTTCTGGTCAGTTGATTCTATCTAGCACTACTGAAATAATAACCATCTCTCTACAGTACCTTTTGTTCATTCCCTCTTTTACTGCCCCTAACCCACTCCACTCCTACCCCTCCGCCAAATTCCCAGGTTGTGAAAGCTGACAGGGTCTTTTGTGATGTTAGGGTATTAGCCTTAGGTAATTGGCCCTAGATGTCCAGCTGTTAGAGCTGATGGCATTCTTTATTCAACAGGTGCAGTACTCCTGTCCCCTTACCCTTGGGCATAAAAGATTGTTGGGTGAGGTGTCTCTCCTCTTCTGTGATTACTGGAGACCTCTGCAACTGCCTAGTGAGGAGAGCAAGAGAGGGCTCCCTCACTTTTTAGTTTTCCTACGACATTTTTTCTCTCAAAGTTCATTCCATAATTCTAAGAGGTGAATTTGCTTTCTGTAATTTAAACATTAATTCCTTAGTTGTCTCTTAGAACTGGCTTCCCTACTATGATTTTGTGCTGCATATAAAATTCAACTAAAGAGAATTTTTTAAAAAATTAAACAATATCAGAAGCTTAAGAAGATAAAGCTACATAATAACTGGAGATTAAAAATTAAGATATCGCATTTAGGACGCCAAACAACGCTGCTATACAAATGGAATTTTTAAAAATACAGTTGCCTGTCCACTTAGACACAGCTGCTTCATAACAGCGCACTCGTCTAAATCACATCCACCCAATAACAGAGCACAGTTTAAAGTATCAGGATATAAATATTTTTTCCTAAACACAAGTTGAAAATAAGTTATCTAAAATCGAGTATTGCCACGGAAGAGTCCTCCAGAGTGCAATAAATAGGTACATTGTGTAGAAGTGAAGAAATGGCATCATGACCCTTTGGGTGGATGCAGAGTGCACTGCGGAGGCTGCTCTCCAGAGAGAAACCAGAGAACCAAGCAGAAGATGCTTTAGTCGGGGAAATCGACAAAAAATGGGAAATTACTTTGAAAGCCTTAGTCTTTAGGACTAACAAAAGCGATTCTTCCAGAATTGACTTTGTCCCCGCCCCATTCTGGAAAACATAAAGAAATTGCCTGGCCCCGGAGCCCCGCTGCGCAGTGCGCACTGCGGCCCAGGAGCGCGGGGCTGGAGCCCGCCCGACTCAAAACGTGCTCGGCTGCCGCAGCGCGTGGCGTCCGCTCGGCTCCGGAATCCAGGTTTCCGGGGTCACCAGCATTGGGAGGAATTGCCCCGCCTGGAAGGGACGGCCGGAGGGGTGTCCCGGGAGTCCCGTGAACGCGCTCTCCCTCGCGCAGCCTTCCCAAGGCGTCTGGCCGGGGAAAGCACGTTCCTAAGCTCCCAGCTGGAAGGCTGGCTTTGAACGTGGCTTAACTTCACCGCCTGAGACCTCACCTAGCACGAACCTTCGTTTGCCAAAGACTCGTGGAGTAGTTTTTCTGGGTCCCGGCTTAAGTAACCTTAAGTGCGTTCAAAATTGGATTCCCCTTTTGGAACCAGGAGCAGTTGCCTCTTGGCAACGGAGATTAGTCAGTGTAGAGCCCGTTTGCCACGGGAGGCGCTCTTGATGTCCGCAGCACAGAAAGGTCAACGCTGCAGTTTTCCTAAACGTGGAAAGATGGTGGAAGACACTCTGCAATCACTGCTTAAGAAAAATGTTGATCTTCATTGTTCTCCCCGAACTTCTCTTCCTTGAAAATAAAACTCCCACCTAAATGTGAAACCCAGAAGTGACTTTTGTTAACTGCATTTATTTCTAAAGCAGAGGACAGTGCCTTTTAATATAGTAGGTGGTTCAATGAATAATTGTTGAACAGATGCAATTGGGGAAAGTGATCAGGTTAGGAACATCTGAGAAATCTTTCCAGGTAGGGAGGGACCAATACTTTCTGAACACTAATCATTGCCAAGTCTTCTAGGCTTTGGCAGGCCTGTTGGGGTGCAGGGCAGGGCTGGCAAAAAGTTGTAGATCTTCAAGGGCACAAAGGGGGCTTTATAAATAGCCTAGTCCGAGGCCTGAGCCCTCAAGCCAGTATTCCCAGAATGACTCATTCTTTTCCCTCCACTCTCCCACTCCTCAAAAAAAAAAAAAAAAAAAAAAAAAAAGAAAGAAAAGAAAGAAAAAGAAAAAAAGAAAGATATTCAATAAACATTTATTTTACGTATACAGAAGATGCTTATTAAGCTTTTGTAGATTGCATGACTTTTCCAAGGCACGCTGGCCAAGAAGCCTTGGGCCCAGCTTCCTGCAATACACATTTTTCCTTCACGGTTCTGAACTGGCACCCTGTGCTAGCTGAGCCAACTCCTAGTACTTTTAGCGTAAGACCTCGCTCGAATGAAATGGCCCACGGCAAAATGAAAAGTATAGTCCTTCTTTCAGTGAGTCAGGTAGACATGCTCACAGCTTTCAGAGTAAGCTTTCTTGTAATATTTCTGCAGTTTTCTCATTCACCTCACAGGCTGACAAAAGGTAGACGAGAGGCAGGTTAGGGCTGGGAGCAGCAGGAAAAGCGGGCTCCACGTGTCCCATCTTGGCCTCAGCCAGTCACCAGGGTCGTAACCGCAAGGTGTGGTGATCTCAACCCGCCGTCCCTGGTTCCGGTCCAGGTACAGGCTGCTCCGGTGGGGTTTCCAATCTACCTTCCTTTTGAGTTTCTGCTAAAATCTGGAGACTGGGAATCCACCCGCGGAAACTCCGAGCCCCTCTAACTGAGCATGCGCCATTGCCTGGCGGCTTTTGGTCACAGGCTCCCAGGCTCTCCAAGCTGGGCTGCGGAGCAAGGGGAGGAGAGAGAAGAGGAAAGGGGAGGGGGTACCTGGGGAGGCGGAGGCTCGCGCGCCTGCGCATCCAGCTCCAGGGACCCTAGGTTTTCTACGGGATTCCCAATCTGCAGCAGAGATTCACCGGAGCGTGGTGCGGCGGTGGCTGGGCTTGCAAGGCGCGATCCGACAGGGATTTCAGCAGCCCAGAGCTCCGAGAAAAAGAGAGAGAAGGAGAGAACCACACACCGAGACGGCTTAACCGTTTACCTGAATTAAATATATATATATATATTTTAAAAAGAACTGTTGAGTTTTATCATTTTCGTTAAGTGACCGTGCGCAGCGCTATAACTGTAAGTGGAAAATACAATCTTCGTTGCATTTCTGCATGTGTAGCACAGCCAATTGTCAGGGAGATGCTTGGCTATTGTCACATACTTTGCTTTGCATAAATGCGTTTAAATGCATGGTGACAATTGCCTTGGTTAATGTTGTCGAACAGAATGTGCTGTTAGTCCATGGGGGACCTTTGGGATTACTGGGGGTGGTGGGGAGAGGAGTGTTTATATGCGGCGTGTTTCGGGAATTGTCTTAAGCTAGATTTAAGATAGGTGAACCGAGATTCATTTTTAGTTTCAGTCTATAAATAGGCGGATTTCCATAGGCAGATTTAAGTACCTAATTGACGGACCATGAAGTTTTCCGGTTGCTGATAAAACTATTGAGCTGTTGCAGTCAAGTACCAACCTGTCATCCGTGGGGTTGGTGCACCATTTTTCCTCACCACGAAAAAGCAGCAAAGGTGTTTGATAAGTAAAACTGAGTGGATGAGATTGGTATGACCATCGGGGTTGATTGCTAAGCGGAATGTTTAAAACCCAAGGAGTTGGGCGCAAAATAAGCACATTTCTCTTAGTACTTAGAACTGAGTAATTTTTTTGGTTTTATTTTTCGTCACAATGGTGAATAGGGATGGGAGGGTGGCGGAAGAAAGCTGTTTTACTGCACTGTCGATTTTGAACCGAATCTGAGAATCAGAGTTGCTGAATGGGGACTATCAGCCCCAAACTAGTTACCTGCCTTTGCATTCCGTCTGTGCCTTCTGGAATGCAGGTTGAGAAATGCAAGCCCAGATGTTACATTTGGTGGTGTTTCTTTAAAGGAGAAAAGGTCGTTTTGCGTTTTGAGTTTAAATGGGTTGTTCCTTGCCCAGAAGTGGAAGAAGGGTCTTTGCAAGGTCAAACCCCATGTGGAAATCAGATTGCTGAATACTCTCCTCGGTGTAAGGGGGCAAGGAATGGAGATGCTCCTTATCGTGGAGGAGATGAGATGGTGAGAGCACAATACTGCATGGATCAGTGCCCTGCCAGATGCTGGAATGGGAATCCATTTTTCTAGAGTTGTCCTCCTGTCAGTATTTTGGGGACTAAAATGGAATGAAAATGCTGATGGGTGTGGAAAGCACAAAGTATACACTCTGTGTCACTTTCCACTTGAAGGCAAGAGAAGCTGTGAGATCTATTTCTATACATTTTTTTTATTTAAAGGAATTTCAGGTTGAGCTAAATTTCAAAATGAAACTCTTGTGAAGACACATTTTACTCCCACCGTAATTTAAACTGCCAACATTTGTGTGTGGTGTGCATGTGAGTACCGCATCACTGTGTGCCTAGCTCATGAATGTGCTCTCATGGAGCCTTGGTGTCTAATAACCTCAGGAAATGCTGCACTGAAGCAGGTCGGCAGAGCGGCGTGAGACATGCAGGCAAGAGAAGAGCAGGGCAGTGTGTCTGGATTTCCACAGAAAAGCAGATCCAATCTCTCCGGTGGAATTACATAAATTTTTCCCCAACTAGGGGGCCTCATTATAACCCTCTTTGGCCCTTTGATCAGTCCAAGTATTTCCAAACCCTCAAGGGAATTTATAATTTATTGAAATGGATGAAACCTGAAATTGGAAATTAGAGAATAACCTCTCCTTGGAAATCAAAGTATACATCATCCTGCCTTCTCTATTCCTTCCTCCTTTACTCCAGAAGAGGAGGACCAATCAATTGTCACAATTGAGCCATACTCCTTTGTCATCCCTGAGAGTTGGCATTGGTTCAATGAATGGTGCAGGTATTGCTCTGCATTGATAAATGGGTGGTAGAGAAAAAGGGGAAATCAGGTATTAAAGCTCTTAGGTATTTGGTCTCAGATTCACTGGATCATAGGCTAACATTCTAGAGGGTCAGATCAAGCACAGACCTTGTAAAACATCTAGTCCGAACCCCTTGTTTACAAACAAGGAAACTGAGGCTTAGAACCTTGGAGCTATAGAAAAGTCAATTGACTTCTAGTCTGTGGACTACACAACTAAAAAGTAATGTTGAGTGGAGATGTTCCCTCTCTCTGCAGTTTTCAGCATCCTGAGTGACTTTGCTGCAGTCTTCAGATAAATGTCTGCTTCTTAGCACATCTTGTGAAATAGTCTCCAGGGGGGCCTTTTACACCCTTTCTCTTTACTTCTCTTCTCCTTATAAGCTTTCTTTCTCTTTTCCATTGCCCCTCACCTCTAATATACCCACCTCATTGGATTTTTAGTCTACCCTTCCTGGCCTCCTCTGCTTCTCTGTCAATTTGGGGGGATCTGTACAGTTTGGAGGAGCACTGGCAAAACAGAAGGCATGAGCAACTCCTGTATGAGAACTGTCCAAAGCCCATTTCATCTCTGCCTGCTCTACTCCCCAGAATCCTCTGGGAATCCAGCTTTAGAGACCTTGCAGGTGCCTTCCCAAGCCCTCTGCCCATCCAGCCTCCTCCAGAATTGCTGCAGCTGTAGGAATAAGGACCTAGTGGAGTGAGGAAGCTGCAGTGTAAACACAGTGGGCTCTGCCAACTCTTCACTGGCTCCTAGAAGGCAGAACCCAAAGCCTGTCTTCAGTCTTCATGGAAATCCTCCAGATGAAACCACCTGCCGAGAAGGGGAGGGAAAGGGCCTGGAAGACTGCAGAAGGGTGCTTGGCATGGTGCTACAGAGGAGGGTGATGAAGATTTTAGACCCCTGAGAGCACTGAAAGTACACACCCAGCATTCCTTCAGGCTGCACTTTCCCTCCTCTTGCGCAGCTTTCTTCCTGACTAGCTGGACTGGGGCTGCGCAGCAGCAATGGGGCCTGCCCAGCTGCCTCCCTTCCTTCGTCCTTTCTTTTTTCTCTCCCTTCTTTTCTCCATTTCTCCCTTGCACCCATAAAAATTTCCCAAGTGCCTACACAATAAAGTTCTAGGCCTCTTAAAGATAACCTGGATTCTCAGTTCTTTCTCCAAAAATGGGATCTTCCAGGCATTTGGAAGATGGCCGCAACCACAGCAAATGTCCCCTTTAGGAAAATGCTAGCTATTCTTCTCCCAGAAATGTGGGGGCCTTAGGGGATGTGGGTGAGATGGGCAGGAGGTGAGGCCAGAGGAAGGCCACGTTGGAGTCTCTTTCTCATTTGACAGAGAGTTAAATAGTCTTGGAAGTCGTTGAGACTAAGGATACAAGATGGTGAGGGCTCAGCGTGTGCACAAGTTGGCAGTGCAACATCACCCTCTCCCTTCTTCCCAGACCTTTACTGAATTAGGATGAGCTCTGCTTGAATAGATTCTGTATGTATGTGTGTGTGTGTGTGTTTGTGTGTGTGTACATATATATTTATATATTGATATATTTATATATTTGTCATATTATTATATAACAAATAATGTTCTTGGTTAATTAGGTGATATCTAGTCTTGCCACCCCATTCCAGGCTATTCTGAACCCCAGGATTCCTCTCCAGAGACCCAGACTTGTAGCTGCTAAGTGTCCTACTTTGATTTGCTATATGTGAATCACATTGTTTAATTGATCACATGACCAGGAATGCTCTAGTGCTCCTGTATAAGAGTTTTTACATAGAATAATATAATTAGGAATATTGTCCTGGGTAAGCTACAGGCTTTTAATTTGGATTGCATGGAGATATGGATTCCAAACATGGCTGATAATCTTCCTGGGGAGTTTCAAAATATGACATCTGACATCAATATCAAATGTGGTTTTCTAATTGATAAGATCAATATATTTTAATGTTGTTCTAAAGGTCTTTTCTTTGTATTCAGTGATTTCTATGCTCCTTGAATTAGTGATTATCTAGAAATATAGGAAGACTTTTTTTATAGAAGGGATCACATTCAACTAATCCAAGGTTTCAAAATCAACAATATCCATCTCAGTTACATATAGTAGATATGAACATTAATTTTCTTTAAGTATCTAATGATGTAGAGTTAAATTAGTGAATGATGTCTATTTCTACCCCATTGGTTAATTCACATAATTAACAGAATAGACGCACTGATAGAGTCCATATAAGTTACCAAATCATCCCTACGATACAAAAAAATATATATAATCTTTAGTGAAATGATTATCTTGAACATATATCTACAATATGAAAACACAGTCTGCAAGGGCAAAAATTTCAATAATCTTTTTCACATTTCCATATTTACACAATGTATTTTTATAGTAAAAATTTAATAATATTTACCAATTAAATGTTTGTTCTAATAAGAATCATTTGCATGTCCCTTGTTAATTATATTGACAAATCATTTCTACTAAAGCTATGCATATAATCAACATTGCTTTAAATATCCTGGTTATTAAGGAAAATGCTAAAGATTATTTTATAATTTATTTTTAGTGAAGGTATAATGCATTATATTAATGCCTTTAAAAGTAGAATATGCCTTTTCATTCCCTCATATGAGTATCCTCCCTTTTGTTTCTTAATAAGTAAAAAGATAAATTATTTTTACCTATTTACAAAAAAATTGGTATTCATAAGTCAAAGAGGAAATAGTAATCTAGACTTTGGTGGCTTTGTGTTCCACTTATTTAAATCATGGTCTCTCAAACTATGGAATTATTTTAATGTGTTCATACTGTGAAGGGACCTCAATACTTCATTTCTCATTTGCAGTTTATTTCTAAAGATGATTTATGCTTTCTTAAGTGAATCAAAATAGTTTGAGTAGCTCCCAGCTTGGTTCATTGAGAACTTCATTAAGGGAAGGATCTCAGGGATGCTTTAGAATCTAGTTAATGAATGAAACAGAAATGGAATAGCAAATTACTGAAGAATCCTCAAGGAGGTTTGACACCTTAATAATAAGGTGCCTCTGAATACATTAGAGATGTTCTATAACCTTATCAGCTAACTTAAAGCACACAAATTGGGTAACTTTATGATTCTTGGGTTTCTCTGGATTTCTCCATGGCCTTACTTCACTGCCTTCTTACCAGAGATGACCTGCTGTGCAACCACCAAGTGTTTATTTTTGTT